GTTGTGGAAAAAAATTCGTAACTTAATGTGATCTGAAAACGGCAGTTCTTTGAGTCACAGCTTTCTCACTCCTGGATAAGAGGCATCAGTGATTTACTCAAAAGATAACAGAAGGTTGATGACCTCTTTGGTAAATATATTTCCGAAAATTGATTGGCCTGGAAAATTTCAGAAGTGATTTGAAGAAGGCCTTCATTGTGTCGCAGGACTTTCCTTCCAACCTAATATTTCAATATTCCTTGGATAATTGATGAAGAAGATTACAACTGCAGCGGCTGTACACTATCAGAATGGCAAAGCAGAGGTTCGGTGAACCATGCGCAGGGAACCAACTTCGCAGTGACGAATAGTTTTTGTGGTGAGTTCGACAAATTGAGAGTGGAATCTTCATAGTTTCAGGAAGGCGACTATCATCACGCCAAATTCCACTAAAAATCAGGAAAAGGGATGAATAATGGGCATCCCCTCTCTTTCAATTTTCTTGAGCATTTACAGAAGAAAGTATCTTAAAGAAAGAAATTCAAATACTCAACACGATGGGTGGTCATGACGAAAGCTTCCATAAGAAGCTTTCAGGAAGCACCACATTACGAGACACTCCTGCTACCAGTCCACAATATCACTGTCGTAGTGGTGATATTCGGTCTTTATTCTATCCTTTGTGTATACGTGAATCAGAATGCGCCGGAATGCGAGGTCAGGAAGACCAGAGTTGGAGCAATGATGAAAGCCCTCAACATGTTGTTGATCAAGATTACTGAACTAATCCATTGCAGCTATTTATTCAGGCTCTCATGAACTGTTCAACAACCACTACGACAGCGCTTCTGTACGCTTCAATGATATTTATCACGGTATCACATAGCGTTGCTATTGCAGCTAATGTCTTATGACAGTTGAGCCACGGTATGTTACTTGCTCATTTGACTCCTGAAGAATTGTGATGTCTGTGATTTGTAAACGGAAGCGCTCCACGTTGTTTCCCACCGAGTGTTTTCCTAAGGGACCTGCGAGCAAGTTCTTCTGTGTTCGACGAGTCCAAAACATGAAGTTGTGCGTCCACGCGTGATGTCCTTAACCATTAGATTATCACAATCCTACGTATCCCCTCTATCGTGTATATCCAAACGTTTATCAGCGTTTACACCTGGGACATACTTGGAGCCCATTCCATTCTGAAGCCGCAGCCCAACTTGGAATTCCATAGAAATCCGATTTTTTTTCTACATGACCATAGTACCCTTGTAATAGCTCTGTGCTGTGACGTGGTGGTGCGTAAGCCAGTGCTCGTGTAGTATAAGCAGGTTTCCTTCAAAAAGTAGTTTATCTCAATGTTGATTCCTCTGCCTCCATCTACGTTGCACAAAAGCACCACATTCAGGCTTCCATGCAATCGTCTATCTTTGCCTAAATCGAGATATAAGCCAGGAGTTGGCGAAAATGTTCACCAGGAGGAGGAAAACAAGTACGCTCAATAAGTAACAACCGTTGCTAAGATCATGAGAGCTGCAATCGAGAACGTGGATGCAGAAGGTCTGAAGGATGTTCTGTTACTGAGTTGTTTTCTTTAACTCTTCACGAGGTTTGTATTTAAGCTTTATTAGGCTGACGTTTCGGCGGAGTCGCCTTCTTCGGAGCCTAGAAAGATCATAACAATTCGTGTCTATCTGACCAAACGTCTCCACTGCCACACTGAAGTTCGAGATCCCCAGACCCACGCAGGGGATTAAAGGAGAATCACTCACCGTAGCTTGGTGGATTCTGAAGGATGTATCATTGCTCAGATTCTAAATGGATTCAAAACAGCTTGCCATCGGAAATGCTGATATGATGTTGAGATGATATTACATTACTGGATTTTATTGAAATCATTAAAATTGTCAGTAAAGCATAACAGTTGCCCAGTTGAATTTTCTTGTTCATTTTTACGAATTGTGCACATGCCTCGATATTCTATAGTGACTTCAAAGCAAAAAGACAGTTGGTGTTCTAGATGGGAAACAGCAAAGCAGTTATCCAAAATCTTTACAACTGTGGTTTCCATAACAGACTCCCTTAGTGGTATCTTTGCCGATGAATGCAATATTATCACAAGAAATCGCTCTCGCAGCTAGTATGGACACAGTCAACATCAAAAATTTCCCCTGTGTAAGTGAGTTGTAATAAAGAGGTAAGAAAGGCGGCAAGAGCACTTGAATGTCTTGAAATCATTACCGTATGGTTTCTTCTGCTCTATGGCTCTATGGAAAGGCTTGAAACAACACAAAAGACAATTCTATCAGTGCGGTCTATCAAGCAACCTTGATCTTCAAGGCCCATGGGTGGTACAAGTTGCGCCTCAAACGCTTCTGAAGGAGATGAAGAGAAGATTTTACGGGAAGTGAGTTTTTTTAGATAACCAGTGCAGACACTTGTATAATATTTTCACTTGACCAGACGCCATGCAACAACTGGTTACAGACAACAACTTCTGCAAGGCATATCACAGCCTCCACATGTGTACTGAAAATGTTTCGAGCTGCTTTAATGGTTTTTTTTTCCTCAGTGGAAAAGAAAAAAGAGCATATAACGAGTCTTGACTTTTGCTTTATGGATATTCAAATTTTGTACTTGAGAAGTGGTGAATAAATCAGTCCTCAAGAAAAAATTGAAATAGTTCTGGAGGGCAAGAAGCGCTATTCCCAAATACATACCCATGCTGAAAGATAGGACAGATAATTATAGAGCGAAATCAAAATGAAAACATTGTGAACTTATTCACCAATCTAATATTTATATAGCTTTAGTGTGCCTACCATAATGACGCCTGTAGGTACAAATTCCGGTTACATGCACCACCACTGTAATTGAATTTTTCTCTAAATCATGCGCATCTCGATAGAATCCTGTATGCCCTTACCGCTTAATCGGTAGCAGACTTGTCTGGGAGGATAAATGACTGACTGATTAATGACTTGTACACTGGCTGGCCTCTGTAAGTCATTGTAGAAGCCACACACTCACAACGCCGTTGCGATTCTGAATGCAAGGCGGATGCGGGGGCGCATCCCCCAGACGGATAGATCAACTCCCAAAGTCTTTATCTTTTTATCCTTTATTATTCAGACGCTACACCTATACCAGGCCATTATCGTGATTACTGTGCAAAGACGAAAAGTAGGAAATAAGCATGACGCCGGTAATTGTTATTATGAACATCTCGTCACGAAACACTTCAAAACATTTAGTCGGGTATTTTGCTTCTCAGAAGAGAACTCTTTTGTATTTTATATGCTTCTGGGGTGCTGTTCCCACTCATTTGGTCCCTTACCAGTTTGAATGTTTTACATCGAATCCCTATTATCGATTGTTCCTCGAAAGCTCTAAGCGTATAAGAAAAGTCTTTGTTCAGATATTTTACCATGAACGTATTTTATTTCAATACACCTTGGATAATCGATGAAAAGGAATATAACTGCAGTGGTCGATCACAATCTGAATGGCAAAGCAGAGGATCGGTGAATTATGTGCAGGGTATCTACTTTGCAACGACAGGAGCAATATTTGGGGTAAGCTCGACAATGGGATATATTATCGCCGTGACAACTTTTGCTCAATTAAAAGAATCCATGCATGAAAGAAGCATTCGAAAAACACATTGGATTTTTGGTTTCTTTCGATGCTTGGCACATCAAAAGGCTAGAGTGGTCATCTTACCATGAAGAGATGTTTTTGTATGCATGTTTTTCAAGCACTGATTTCAAACACATTTCACATTTCACATCTACGAAACGACTGTCTAAATGATGGCTAAACGATTACGATATCGGGCGTTAATCATTCACGTCCTGAGGATACACTCCTGCATCCGACTTCCATTCAGAATCATAGTGGAGTATTGAATGCAGGTGTAACCTATACAATGACATGCAGTGACCAACCAATGTACATGTCAGTGTATTCATCCTCCCGCACGTGTCTGGTACCAATCAACCGACCCCGGAGGGTGGGAAGGCAGTTCAAGATCCATGACCAAGTTATTTCGAAACTTGTGTTGTTTTATGACATCAGTAATATTGATCTGACTCCATTTCCATCGAAGCGATGGCTAGTGCCTCAATGCGGGAGGCGGGCAGTTGAATCAGTTTCGCGTAACCGAATCGCCACACGCAGCAGTCGCGGATCAGTTGCCTCGTTATTGCAGTCTTAGCGTGCCTGATAAAGCACAATAATACAGTCGAATGTAATTATTATCTCTCAGCATGGTTTTACTGTTGCTTTTTTACTTCATTTGTTTCGCGCTCGCTGCGAAGCCTCTGCTTCGTTGTGCTGTAATCCTCCGCACGAGACGTCGCTCTCGCCGCAGAGCGAAAATTTCGATTTAAGTGCACCACATCCGGCGAGTATTAAGGGAGTGATACGCCGTATAGAGCGCGATGTGTGCTATTCATAGCTAGGTCTTCATGCTGCTATTCTGAAGGATTGGAGAAATGGGGAAAAATGCATATTGATCATGAAACAGATATGGGACAATGCTTTTGCTTCGTTGCTTTCAAGCGTCGCTATAGAGTGAGTTATGCACAGAATTCAGATACTCTACGTGTTGTGTCTGATCGGAATGATTCGAGGTAAACTGCTAAAGATGCCCTGTTATTGTCTCATGTTCTTTAACGGCATCATCGACATCATGGATTTGATTGCAGGCTCATTACTTCCCGCATACTTTCATCTGGTAAGTTATTGGTTTATAACAAGCATGAGCACGACAAAGATGTGTAACGAGCATTTGTCATTAGCTTTAATCCACAGAACACGCAGACAATCTCTTGTGACTGCAACTGGTGCTTAAGCTATGTAGGAAACTGGCATCAATTATACCTTTAAAATCCACTTTGAAAATGATGCACACATGAAACGTCACCGAATAATCTATGTTTGACACTACTTTTTGGCCATTCCATTGACCATGCAAGGGAGGAGTAGGGGGTTTCCGAGACGTTCAAGTTTATTAATCTTACTGGTTGAGTTCGACACACATAATTCCTCTCAGTTCGAAAACGTTTAATCTTAGAATCACTCATAGAGGTATGCTCTGAGTGCTGTTGAAAGCATTTTTGTTAATCAAGAAGAGTTGACGGTAAAGGTACTTCAAATTTTAGTCAACTTTCTAGTGAGGATATGATGTGATGCACTTAACACAAAAATTATGGGGTTTTATTTAGAACGGTTTCGTTTTTTGTTCTTCGATCGCCCTCAATTATTTCGCTGGACACTTATCATGGTGTGAGTTTGTGTGCACTTTAATAATTAATCAAAAATTAATAATCAATTATCAATAATCAGTCAGTGTTTATGGGGAGATGCACAGTAAGAGAGGATGAAATCACTACTTCACACTCTGCTGATTTTCGAATCCGAGCAACTTAGTCTGTAGTGAGTGAGTGTACTATTAGGTTAAGTCATAAGTCCTCGGACAATGTGATAGTGATGAATCTAGAAATCATAACTTGGGAAAGAGGTGACGAAAATGGACATGCGAGGCATCGTCAGATAGAGTATCAAATACATACTAATGAGTACACCTGACCACCTCCTGCGCTTGAGCGTGAGGAGAGAAAGTGCCATGTCGGCGCGAAAGTCCATGTCATACTGTTTCAAAGCATTAGGCACCCATCGACCGAGCTTTCGCACCTTGACGATTGACTTCAATCCACGAATGACTGTGGACTGACTCCCCAAGGGTGACTGCCAGTTCATGAGTAGTTTTATACGGATCGGCTTCCATGTGGCTCCGCAGCACGTCCCAATCCAACTCCATTGAACGTCCCGGACGGTCTCTATTTTCGATGGAATAGTCGTCCGACGTGGATTTCGTGTTCCAGTTGTGAATTGTGCATCTAGCAGAAGCACCCTTTTTGTAAACGTCCTTGATACGTCTATCGATCTTCGCGGGTTTGGGCCAGATAAGGAATTAAATAGGATGGTGTTGCGGGGGTGGAGTTGCGACGGCTTGAAGTCATGGGGCATGGTTGCAGGAAAGAAAACAGTCAGGTGTGTTTGTTAGTATGTATTTTGGAGAACTTCCCATACTCTATCTAACAATGCCACGCGCGTCCATTTTCGTCTTCACTTTCCCGAGTTATGGTTTCTAGAAACCATCACTATCACTTTGTCCGAGGACTTATGACTCAACCTAATTCTATCGTACTCAGTAGAAACTTTGGTAAACATTCAAACACCCCACTTTGACTTAAATATTCAACGGGTTCGGTGCAGCTGAGCACCTAGAGCCCAAGGACAAAAGAAAAGCAAGGTTGTGTAGTCAAAACCAGAATCAATTCTTGAATCTTGAAGCAAATCATGATAGTGTATATTTCATCGTTCTGGGTTACCTCCCAACAGTGATCAAGGAAAATTTGATGTCACATTTTCTTTCTACTTTCATATTAACGACAATCGTACAAGTTCCAATGGACGTATCCTTCTTAAGGTTTATGGGCTGGAGCTACATTCAACTGTATAGTGTTAGCTTTAAATCGTGTAGTTGAGATGATTCCTTTTGCTAACGGTCTTCGCTTTCTGTTCAAAGGTTTGTTGTACTTTCGCCGATTCACCTTACTCTACTTTTCATAGCCTTTGATCTAAAACAGTATTGGCATACACCTTGAAGGGTTCTGAATCCACCTTAGCAGCATTGGTTTTAGGTAAGACCTTGCTACTGTGGATCACAGTGTCTGTAGCATACATGGTCGTTTTACCATTTGTGAATCGTTCTCATCCTTATAACACAGTTGCGGCTGCTTATATTCCTTCTCCTGTGATTACCGACGATGAAGAAAAAGTGAGTTTAAAAGAAACATATTATTCTTCCGAACGTTATTTTTCATGAATGCCTTCTGTTCGAGGGCCCTTTACCTTACAAGGCTCAGGAATTTGCACAATGATATAGATGTTTAAAATGTATTGTTAAAAGTTTCTGATTCTTAATACATTTTGTCTAACCTTGTGATAGATGCCTTTTGCTTACCGAATGAGAGGGTCTGAGACCTATGAAATTCAAACGTACCAAAATGAAATATAAGGTCCCTTATCAATACTTGCAAGAACAACTTTCATTCCTTTTGCTGATTTGCATATAACGACTATTATATATCAGTCCATCGAAAAACGTCGCGAATGAATCAGTGCACTCAATTTGCTCAGAGGATTTGTAAGTTAGTTTTGAAATGAGATTGGTCAACGCTTGTCGTGCCATTCTTTCGACTTCATAGGTCGGCTGTCGTGGCGCGCACCACGGTCCCACCGAGAAGGGACAGTATGCTGCAGAGAACGAGAGGACGCCACGTGGCTATGCTTAGCCACGGACTCTGGCTGCTCATTCCACCACACGACGACCGCATCATACATTCCTCCATCTTTCGTCACCTTCGTCGTGACAGCAGTCCGATCGTTTCTGTAGTCTTGTACGCGCTCAAGTCAACATCATCGGCGCAGCTGCAGAGGGATCTGCAGCACCACAATTTTGCCATCCACTGTTGGTGCAACTGCTGCCAGGTCGACCTCACGCAAGGAAGAGCCAGAAGAGTGGTTCGCGGCCAAGGATGAACCAAGGAACAGCAGCACCGCAAGAAGGCGGAGAGGATTGGATGCCCCAACAGAGAGTGGGCAGGATCGACCCCAGCCGTTGGTTCGGTATCTTTTAAATATGTATATATTATTTATATTCGTTTTCATAGTATTTCTTTGTTATAAAGTCGTAGTCAATCACATTTATCGTAACATTTAGTCTCTTTATCCTTATATACGTAGTTTATCATAAATTCATATAATTCATTCGTGTGTGCGTAGAGCACAATTGGTGTTGTTGTCGTCGGGTATCTTGGAGATGTCCTATGCGGAGAGACTTATGAAGGGATCGCAGGCCCTCGAAGGACCATGCGCACAGTGCCCCGAAGGAGCTCAGCGCTGGACGAACGACCTCCTGCGGAGGTCATCGAGTCGGAGAATTCGTCGGAACCCAAGAAGTTCGAGCAGGCTTCCCTCTTTATTCAAAGCTGGTGGATACTTGATTAATAACTTGAACTTCTCATGGAACTCTGATTGAAGGCCAAGGTATATCGATAGGTTCTATAGTGCTGTTCTCAACAGAAAATAAAACCGCTCAATGAGTTTTGCAAAAAAGTTATGAGCTCTCAAAATTTAGCCTAGAGATAGTCTCAGAAGAAGTGCATAGCAGTCCAGCGCACATCAATCGACTCCATAGGCGACTGCAGTGCACAGCGAAGGAGTAGTGGTCTCCGCTATCATGCTAATTTTGCTGGTTTGGTTCCCGCCGTCGAAGGTTTTGCAAGTCGTGCTTCTTTTCGGAAGCTTTCGTAGAGATTTCCAATTGGAATTATCGAGTGAGCGCTTCTTTACATCAATACGGTTGAGAAAGATAATCTCACTTTTTCCTAACATGCTTGTGGGTTCAGAACTGTATCAAAAATGTCAGAAAATCTGATTCTCAGGAAACAGCTCAGTACGCCACCTTGATGGTACCAATTCACAATATTACCTTCGTCTTTGTGCTATTGAGTCTCTATACCATTCTATGCGTTCATATCATCAGAATGCCACGCGCTGCAAAAGGAAGGAACTACAAAGTGCAAGTGCAGGTATGTAGAAAATGATTGAGAAGCATTGACGTTTTCTTTGGTATTGCTCGAGTGAAATCGAACAAAGCCTGTAGGCTCTTTCTATCGTTTTGCGCGTTTATATGTTCGGAAAATTTTGGAGTAATTTCAAATTTCTAAAGAAAAGCTTAGTTTATTTTGCATGTGCCCATAGACCCTTTGTTCATTACTTAACCCTACTTCGACTGACCGAAGTTACGGTCAGTAAAACTGGTTCGGATTACAGCAAAACCCGTTTGTACATTGCTTGGAAAGGAGCATGTCCCTCCGTCTAACATAGATGACCCTCAACTGCAAAGTCGATTTTGATGAGTTCAAATACCAAAGGTAATCTATTTTGCTAGAAGTACTACACGATTTTCTTGAATGGTCATGCAGAGTTTCATGAAGGAGTTCGCCACTTAGCCGGTATGTAAAAAAAGATTCATTGTCAATGCTCCAGCCCTTACTTCGCCTGAATTGGAAGAACCAGACAACTTGTTCCGCCAACTGGTTTCGAAAACATTTTCCTTTATATGTCTTTTGTTGCATTTCCATATATCACGATGCTGGAAGCACCGAAATCCAAGCGAAGATAAGAAATTTAAAGCAATTACGCCGCGATAATCACAATCAATCACAATTATGTTTCATAAAACACTAACTGAAACATGTAGAGGAAACACTTTAAAAGAACAAGTTGAAGAATGTGTTCTCAAGCTAATTGTTATGTTGCTTCTGAAACGAATCCTTTGCAGATTTTTGTTCAAGTTCTTCTGATCTGTTCTACAACTGCCATAGCAGCGACCCTTCATGTTTTCATGATATTCTTCACAGTGTCACGTAATGCTGTTATTACTGCATGCGTTTCATGGCAGTTGAGCCACGGTAAATTATGATTATCGTTGAATTTCATTGCATAGCGATGACCGTGGCCAAAATTGTAACGATCTTTAGCCGTGTTGTTGGGTAGGCGAAAGACTTAGTATTACCACCTTTATGTGTACTCTTTCTTCCTTCTCAAGAACGCACCGTTTAGGTCTTCATGGGATCATATACCTCAGTTTCAATCGTGATATACGCTACGAGGTGATGAAGATGTTCACAATAAAGAAATGCAGGTGTTCAACACGTACTGTATCGATCAGCACCGGTGCCCGAACGGAAATGACAGAACCAAAGTTCTGGTTGCAGAAATTTTGAAAGAATTTGAATCTTGATCAACTTCAACAACACTGTACCGGAAGATACGAGAAAACTTTCAGTCAACACTGTACTAAGCATAAAAATTCTTGGCAAAGAAGAAAAGGGAAGACTTGACCGAGTGCACAGGTTTATGTAAAAAGCTGTAGCATATGTGGTAACATGTGTAGCGATGTTTTTCCGAGTCGGCTTTCCTGTATTGCTCTCTTTCTGTTGGTCTATATTGGATGATATACAAATTTCAGTTCAGCATACTCAGTTGCGAAGTAATTTGTTTCAATCCTGCATTTGCATAATGTTGCTCATTTGAAAAATACTAATCCCAGCGCAAGAAACAGCCAAACCTGTGCCAAAGTCGAGTTACTTCCCATCGAAAGGAAGACAAACAATGATGTGCCCTTTTATACAATCACGACTTCTTCTGGCTACCCACAACCTGATCGTCCAAAAGTTCTGTTATTTTCTACGAACGCTGTTTTTCAGTTGGAATTTTTGCGATGCTGTTTCAGGATTAGATATTCTCGCTCTAATTTTATATCTTATATTAGATGATATCTTTCTGTAATATTCTTATTACGTGTCGATTCTATTGTTTTAGCAGTAATACAATGCCTGCCATTGTTCTAATGGAGAATAAACAAGACATGACATTTCTCTATGAGTTTCATGAATTGATTCAGAATTCAGAACGTGATTTTTAGAAATGAAACTTGTGTCCGATAATTTTTTTATATGTGACGAAGCAAATGTAATGATCAATATGACTGATAGGCCAGATAATACTGCTGGATTTCCTGAAGCACAACAAAATAACAGTTTTCTCTTTATCTCTGGGACAACTCGGTACATTGAACATGTCGTGATCTGCCAACACGAAATGCTCAATGGCAACAACAAAGCAAGATAATGGAAGTGATGCGCCAATAAAATACTTAATTTACACGGCTCGTCTTCGTTCATGTACGAGCACCAGCAACAAACCATTTGCTTCTTTTTTTTGCGATCGCCATCCATGGTGCGCTCAGAATTCGACGAAGATGTTGTTGTGGGAAATCATTCAGCTGGTTTCGCTTCTTATTTACGTGAATTCCCTCCACTCGGAGCGGCCTACCCTTAAATAAGATACTACAGGAGCCCACCATACGTAAGTTCCTCCACTGGTTGGAGATCTGAGTAAGTCGGCTAAGAACTTGTTGAGGCCTTGAGTAATGCCCCAATTCATGCTTGCAATCGCAGCCTTACCTCCCAGAGAAGGATCCGAGATGTTGTTTTGCAGTGAGGATTTTTGCTTTCCGCACGTGTGTCGTGAATAGGTACAAGTTCGTGTAAAATCTTTATGTAACTCGCACCATCTCAAATATCGATGATGTAAAAATTCTGCCCTCCTTTTTCAGACAATAAAGTGAAATGGTGTAGTCCCAAAGGTCTCGGCGGCCTTTCAAAGCCCAACTCTGTTTCCTTCGGTAGTCTCCTCTTTCTGCATAGCCAAAGGTCTCGCTGGCCTGCTTGTCTGCAACTGATAGTTGCTTGCAACCTTTTAAAATGGGTGACGTTCTGGTCAAGACTCAAGTTTCTTCTTGTCCTGAGAAGATCCTTCGTCGCACTGAAATCCGAGCAGAAGTATCTAGTGCTTGGCCTGTTCAGCACAAGTGAGGAGACTACAATCCAGCGCGTCGTAGTCTCCTACGGGGCCATCCATGACCTGCCAGTGCTGACGCTTAGAACTCTTCACCATCTTTTCCAACTTACTGAATCTGATCTTACATGGGAAGTATCCCAAGTCGAAGTGGTCATTTGAAATGGGACCTATACTGCTGGAGGTATTTTCTGATGCTGATTTCAAATCTGCATTCAAAATGTGCCAAACGATTCTCTGAACGAAGTTATGGAGGTGAGAGCGCTCAAGAGGGGAAAGCGCAAAAGCCATGGTCGCCGGCAGCTCAGCAGTGGCGGCTTGGAGTGGAGGTAAGCGTGACCCTTCACAGACACGGGACCAAGTATCGGGTTTGGTAGGGGGCGGCGTTTTTGCATCTTGCATGACTTTTTTCTCCAAGTTGGAAAAATCCTTTTATGTTAGTCTTACCGCCTTCAGCGACTTTTTAGTTGCTGGAGGCGGGTCAGTTCGTTCCTACTTAAACCGTCCGACATCTACTCCAACCACCAACATTACTAAAATTCTATTCTTATTGTTATACATTTCGAATGCACTGTAGGATAACTTTTACCTATTATAAGCGGATGCGATAATCTAGCACGAAGTGCTCAGAACAAAAGTCTTTCACAATGAGCGCAACGATTGAAAAAATCACTTTTCTGATAAAGCTTTCCATCTGGATTTGCTTGTTATTTCGCTCTAACTAATGTTCTGGGAAGAAGAACCTGCACCTGCTCTTTGGACACTTCCACATTACCAAACATCAGCGACCCTCTAGATGAGCTTGCTGTTTCCTCTTCATCATTCGGTTCCCACAGTGGATCGGCCTCCTCGTCCTCAATCACGCAGTCTTCTCCGCCCTCAATATCGAAGTCTTCGTAAAAGGGATTCCGAAGATAGAGGAGAACCTATCTATAAACTTGTGCTCCTTCCTTGTATGGGTGCGTTCAACATCACAGGATCCGAAATACTCCTTGTTCTTTAGTGTTACATCCATCCTTATATACCATACTTTGCCGCGTTTGCCACATGGCTACCCTTTCTCTTTTGAAAACTGACCACAACCCCCACCTTTTTCAAAAACTGATCGATGGCAGTGGAAGACGGTTTGTGTAGGAATTGACTCGCTTCCACCAACCAAAAAGTCGCTGAAGGCGTTAAACCAACATAAAAAGGTTTTTACAACCTGAAGGGAAAAGTCCTGCTAGATGCAAAAACGCCGCCCCCTACCAAACCCGATACTTGGTCCCGTGCCTGTGGAGGGTCACGCTTACCTTCACTCCAAGCTGTCATGCTTGGCTGCCGGCGACCATGGCTTTTGTGTTTTCCCCTGTTGAGCGCTTTCCGGAGACCACCTCCATAACTTCGTTCAGAGAATCGTTTGGCAGATTCTGAATGCGGATTTGAAATCAGCATCAAAAAATACCCCCAGCAGTATAGGTCCCATTTCAAATGTCCACTTCGACTTGGGATCCTTCCCTTGTTAGCACGAAAGAGTCGATGATCAGAACTACCGCATAAAATGGTACCACATCAACATCTAGTGAAGATCTTTTTCTGTTTGTTAATATGAGATCAGTCCAGCACGAGCTGTACCGTTTGGAGACTCCCATGTTTATAGGCGATGTTCCCTTTTCTGGATGAGAGAACTGCACAGAAGAGTCGAGGCGAGTAGAGGAGTGCAACTGAACGGTTTCCGTTCTCGCTCCTGTCCGCCATTCTAGATTTTCCAATCCGAATTCCTCCTCTTGTGCTTCGCCAAGCCTAGCGTTGAATTCCCAATCAACGAACTTGTAGAAAGTTTTTTTTTGCCGTTGACGATCTCTTTAAGGTGATGGTGATAGGCATCGTCCTCTAACTCGTCAGTACAAAGTATGGAGAATAACATTCGACGATAGAGATGCTAATCAGGACCACGTGTTGTAGCCGTACGATAGCAATGCGAGGAAACAGGACTTTGTGAGAAACGAAGAGATGACGGACAGATGTGTGCACGACAGAACCAGCGCCGCCGGCATTTCGCAAAAAAAGTTTTTCTTGTTTCTATATGAGTCGTGCACATGCCTCGATATTTTATAGTGACTTCAAAAACAAAAGGCGCTTGGCGTTCCGGACGAAAAGCAACAAGGCAAGTGCTTCAAAATCTTAGCGTTTGTGGTCTTCCTCACATAACATCTTGAGTTTCTTCTGCGTTAATGAATTACATTGAAGATGTGACAAAAAAACTCCCAAGGGGCCAAAATATCTCCGAGCTATCCAAATGTGTGTGCTACTATTTACACCTGGGAACAGCTACCTGCCTGTGTGCAAGGTGTGCGTTCCAGTGCGAATGCTCTAACCTCGCCTCCACGGGATCGTGAGAACTCGTCCGCCCAAGGTGTGTACGTTTTCCAAGTCTACAGTTTATAGACGCCTACCTTGACTCTTTTTCCATCCGACGCCGTCCATCAGGCTGTCCTTGAGTGCTGCAGGTTCATCTTAGGGAGGAATCTCAGAAAACATTTTATTGTAAACGGGGTCAGGTTTCTCGAGTAATTGACCAGAAATGCTGACATCATAAATCACATCATATTTCAAGCATTTGAAGCCATGTGAAATGGCGTGCGTATCCCGTGCTTGGACTCAGTGGCGATAATATCAAATATCAGTCTCGTGAAAGATTTTGATTTACCCAGTTAGTACAGCAAGTAAGGGTTACTAATTGTTAGCGATTTACTGGAGCTCGTAGAGATTAGGAAGCGGCACAATCCGGCATAGCCTCCTTTTTTGTCTAATCAGCTGCTCCTGAAGACAAATAAAAATACAGAGCAGTATTGACATTCCAATTTATAGCAATGATTGACCAAAAAGTTTTGACCCATAGAATAAGAAGTCTTGATGAAGTACAGAAAGCGCGAAATTGAATTGATAAACAGTCGATGTGAAATACCTCTTTCCTAAGCTCAAGCGGTTTGTGGATGTCGTCCCTATGAAGTGCATGTTGGTGCGAGCCCAACTACACGTCAGCTCTTTATACTTGTGCACTGAAGCATCTCTTGAAGCGTTCAAAAAATGAGAAAGATTAGTAAATAACATGTCGTCGGAAGAAACGATGTCTTCTCTATAGAAGTGTGAGAAAGTAGTGTCCGAGCATACAGCACCTATCTCGAATTTACATCTCCTACTACTTGAGCCTGTTATTTTCATGCCGTACGCATATTTTGTGGACGATTCTTTTGTGATGATTCATTTCAGATACAGTAGCTGCTGCCTACGTAGTTCCGCAGTAGCAGTAGTTGACATCAACAGTAGTGGAACATGGCATTGTTCAGGATCTCCAACTCTACCAGGCAATTACTGTGTTTAC